ACAAATTTAATCTTTTTATCTCCTTTCACTTAAGCCATTCAAGGGTTAAAAACTTTTATTTATTTTTTAATAAAATTTTTTCACCCTCAAATAAAATGGCAGATACATTCCAAGAAGAAACTACAATTAAAAGTTGTTTAAAAACTGTATTAGAAATATCTAGAAATCACGTTGAAACACTGAATGGATCTAACGAAATAATTAGAAAAATCAAAGATAATACTAAAATTGATTTGGTTGTTATAGCTGAAGATCTTAAAGGAGATCATAAAGAGACAATTTTGGGTCTTTGTGCTGAGAAAAACATTCCTGTTTTAAAGATTGAAAATAGAAAGGAATTGGCAAGTGTTGCTCCTTTTAAAGTTAAAAAACTCGGTGCTATTGCTATAAAGAATTTTATGGTTGAAACTAAAGAATCAATTTTTATTAAGAATTCTTTATAAATAAATTTATTCTTGTGAATTAATTATTTTTTTATTCATCACAGTTAAAATATCTTAATAAATGATTTTTTTGATTTCATTTAAAAATTTATTCTTTAAGTGACTTTTATAATTTAATTTATATGTTGATTTTTATTTAACGCTTAATTTTGTCAAATTTTTATTTAAATAAATATTTGATCTTAAAAACTGGTTTATTAAGTATAATAATTTTAGTTTTGTATCGAAATAAATATTTTATAAAAAAATATTATAGTAGATCTTTATCTGTGTTCTGGTGCTTCATTACACATCACAGTTGGGGATCTATTTTAATTTTAAATATCTTTTATTTTTATAAATCATATTATATTATTTAAAAATATAATAAAACTAATTTTAAGACAATAAATATTTGTTTTTTTTTTCATAATTTTTTTATCAGTTCGAATCCGGTTTAATACCTTTAAACACATTTTAATTAATTATAAATTTTCATTATTTATAGTTAATAAATACAATCATTAAACATTAGTTATTTTTTTAATAATAATTTGTTATATGATGAGTATCCTTTAATCATAATTAAAAAAAACAAAAACTATTTACTCTTAAATATTCACATATTTTAAGTAAATAACTAATAATTATAAAATAAAGTGAATCATTATACATTTGTTAATGTTTCTATTTACATTATCTTTTACAATATATTTAACAATTGTTTTTTTATGATAATTGTCATCTTAAACAAACCGTTTTCTTATTATTTTTATTGTATTGTGTTAAAACAATTATTTAAATAATTTATATAAAAAG